CACTGCTCTTCTCTCATCCTTCTCTGTCACCACACTTCTAAGAGGATTCATATGACAAAACTGGAAGGTCAGATGATCCTTCATGCAGAAAACGAAAATTAATGAGACTTGGAAATCCACTTTCTCTGCTCACCTATCAATGCAAAAATAAGTTTCTTGTGGGAGTGGGGGACTGAAGAGATGGCTCAGTGGTTAAGGGCACCTTTTGTTCTTGCAGAGGATTGGGGGTTGATTTCCAGCACCTGCATGTTGACTCACAACCATCTACAACTCTAGTTCTAGGAGATCTGATGCCTCTGCTGACTTCCATGAGCACCAGGCACACCCATGTGGTGTACATACTTACGTGCAGACAAAAGTTATACACATAAAATAAAAACAAACACCAGCCCACAGACAAGTTTTATGTCATCTTATTAGAAAATACATCTTGCAAGGGCATCCAAATACTTGGTGGATGAAAGTCTTTAAAAAGTAGCTGAAGCTGACATAAACTAGATGAAAGCTAAAGTTATAAACCCACTAGAAGAAAACTAAAAGGTATTTTTGTATGTGACTGTGGGTTGACTCTTTCAGACAGGACATTGAAGTGCACACGTGACGCGCACAGTAAAAGGACTTTGCTAGCGTTAAGGTGCTACACAGAAAGGGAAGTCAGCAGTCTGGAGAGCAATGCAGAGAAGGGTAAGAATAAGCTCAGAGTGGTGGCACACGCCCTTAAATCTCAGCACTTGGTGGGCAGAGGAAGGAAGAGCTCTTGAGTTCCAGGCCAGCTAAACTGGTCTACTCAGTGAGTTCCAGAGCAGACAGGGCTCCACAGAAAGTGTCTGTTTCAACAACAACAACAACAACAACAGCAAAAAAGTTTTCAAATCACAAACCTATTACAAGATTTGCAATTAGGCTTTGTAGAAAACCCACACAACTCAACTAAAGAAACACTCCTAAAGCCAACTGACATAGTAAATTAAAGAGCCAGCATAACTATATTTCCAATTTAAAACGTCCTACTTTTCTGTATGATTATAAAAAAGAACAACCCAAATATAGTCAGGTGTGGTGGCATAGGTCTATAATCCCAGGAAACAGGCAGTTTTCTTTGAATACAAAGCTACATAAAATAAATCTTTAAAAAATAGTATCTACTAGGAAACAAGAAAAAAAAGACTCAAGAAATAAAAATCTTATGATTAATAAATTACAAAAAAAAAACAACCCCACCACATTCCTCCAAAAAAAAAAAAAAAAAAAAAAAACATGACCTATAGTAATCATTGGTAAATTCTCTCAAACACATAAAGAATTAACATTAACCACAGCATTAATCCTAATACTGATCATTAAAACACAGCAGAATAACAAACTCATTCCACAAACCTGGTATTATCTTGATAACAACAGAAGCAAATACATCACAAGAAAACTGCACGCCATATGAATATAGATCCAAAAGTCTTCCTCAAAAGTCTAGCAAACTGAATCCTACAGCACTTGAAAAGGATTGCATAACATGGCAAAATAGAAATTACACCAGGAATTCAAGTTTGGCTTAACATGTGATTATCAGTTAATATATACCATATTATTAGACAAGGAGAAGGAGGTGATCATATCAATAGATGTCAAATTTAACTAAAACCAAAATCTTTTTATAATAAAAATAAAATCTAAACCAGTAAAACTTCCACAATATAATAAAAGTCCCAAGAGAAAACTCCACAGTAACACATTCTCAACTGTGAAAGACTGAAAGTCTTCCTCCTGAGAACCTGAACAAGGGTACCTGCTTTTACCATTTAACACTCTACTGGAAGTACTCAGTAAGTCAGGTAGAAAAGTTAAAACCATCCAAACTGAAAAGAAGAACGACTGTCTCTATTCTCAAATGACAGGAAAGTCTATATCCTCTACAAGAAAATTAAGTGTTAACAAATTATTTCAGCAATGCTGAGAGGTACAAGATCAACATGTAAATATTAGCTATGTATCTATACATCAACAAATAATCCAAAAATGAAATTAAAACAATTATACTTACAATAACATTGAAAGAATGAAATATTTACAACTGTATACTCTTAAAGGACTCAGTGGTCAAAACAATCTTGAAAATAGGGCAATTCTTTCTATTAAAAATTATGATGAAGATATACTGTATCCAAACTGAGGTCCTAGCATAAGGGAAACAAACCAATGGAATAGAATAGAGTATCCAAATGTGGACAGACAGGCACACAGACACACAGAAAACTTTCCATTTATACATACACACACAAACCTCACATGATTTCTAATGATAGTGCTAAAGAACAAATGAGGAAAACAGTCTACCAATGATCTTGCTAGAACTAGACCCGAACATGCCAAAGAATAAAAGCAGACCTTTTCTGTATACTATATACAAAATTAACTCAAAATACTGAATTTCTAAATATAAAAAGCCAGGCTAAAGACAAAAATCTTACAACAAAATTGGCAATAATTTCCTGAATATGACCCTAAAACACAGGTAACAGAGAGCACATGCTGGACTATTAAAACTGCTATCTGTCAAAAGAGGCAGCTACAGAATGATTATATATATATACATACATACATATATATATATATATACATACACACACACACTCAGTAAGGTCTAACAACTCCAGTACAAAAGGCCAAGCAGCTAAGTTCCTAAAGGTCAAAGGACTTAAAAAAAAAAAAAAAAAAAAGGCATTTCTCCAAAGATAAACAAATGCTAAAATGCATATACAACAATGTTCAACATGGCTAATCACTACAGGAATGTAAATCAAAACCACAGTGAGAAACCACCTTACACTCAATAGCACAGCTAGTAGATAACATTAATAAAATAAAAAAAAAGGTCTGGCAAGGGTGTGTTGAAATGGAAACCCTTGTACAGTTATGGTGAGACTGTGAAGTCATATAGCAACAGAGGAGGAGGCCTGCAGGAGCATAAAGGACAGCCATTGTGGTCTTACCAGGTGGGCAGTTCCTTAAGACAGAAGAATTGCCACCATATGATTTGGTATTTCCACTCTTCAGTGTACCTCAAAGAACTGCACTGGGATTCCAAGATCAGCCCTGCTCACAGCGGCTGAAGAGTTGAAAGTATACAAGTGTCTACCACTGGATGTATAAGTAGATAAAAAATAGTATATTGTATACACATACAACAGAATATTATCAAACATGAAAAACTGAACTACTGTTTGTGCTTTGACTTAGATAAACCTTGAAAAAAAAAATGAAAAAAGGCTGGAACTGCAGCTTAGTTGTAAAGCACTTGCCTTGAAAGGATGATGTCCCATATTCAGTCCTTAGGGGCAGGAGAACCTGACAAGAATCACATACTATATGGTTGTCTTTATATGGAATGACCAGAACAGGCAAGCCCCCAGATTACTGGCTGCCAAGGGCTAGTGGGGAGGGCAGGATATGGATTATCATGATAAGCGCCAAATGTCATTTAATTATTTAAGTGGAAAAAAAGAAAATCATCTGGACTCAAGACAGGATCTTATTAAGTATCTCAGGACAGCCTCAAACTCACAGAAATCTTCCTGTCTCAGCTTCCTGAGTACTTCAAATGCAGGTATGTACCACAATGCCCAGCTCAAAAGTGTAAACTTTGTGTTACGTGGTTACATATAAACCTTCTACTTGGATCTTTCCCCCTCCTCCTTCCAGTGTTGTCTCCAGTTTTTTCTTACTTAAAACAAACCCATCAATTAACGTATGTGATCACTATCACTTTATATCTATCACAAGCTTGATCATGAGAAATACCGCTTATGGTAAACTGAGCATCTCCTATCTCCTTCCCTCTGGACCAACCATCGCCATGCAGTCCTCTACTGACAAAATATTTTGAGCACAAATTGCCAAAATAGGTATTTATTTATAAATTATTTCACTAACCATATAAAATATACAAAAATAGAAAATTTGAAAGCTTGTGTAAAATAAATTCTACTTTCCCTACCCCAGTGGATAGAGCATCTTTCCCCTGAAGAGCCCTTCTCTCCATTTTACTTTTTTTTTTTTGAGACAGGTTTACACTGGTAGCTGAGGCTGGCCTCAAATTCATGATCCCCCCTGCTTCAGCATCCTGAGTGCTGAGATAGTAGGTATGCCCCCCCCCCCCAAGTTCATGGCTCTAATTTCACTCTTGGGTAGAGCACCTGCCTTTACCAACTCTGTTATGGAAGAAATGTGGCCCTAAGAGCCTCTGCCTGCTGTGGCACGTACCATGAGGGATCTGGAGGGCAGTTACTCTGTAATGTCTTCTTATGAAGACCAATGAAGAAACTTCACTTAGTATTTGTAATGGAAATAACTAGTAATTTTGAAATTCTGACTTGCTTTTATAATGTTTTTTATAATGTTACGTGATTATAGCTTGTCTTCTAGAACATGTAACACCAAACTTGTAGCTTATTTCTTGCAAACACATCTACCCAGTGTATTTATCCCCCTCTGGCTTCAACTTGTCCTTCCATCTCTTAGTTCTTCATTTAGTTATTTATTTTAAGTCATGTTTGGCTTACCCCATTTTCAATTTTTATATCATCTTAGTGCTTCATTTACTTAACAAAAAAAGTCATGCTGTATTATTTGTGTGTGAGTGCATGTGTTTAAAGGTAAGCTGTCCTTCTCTCAGGACAGAAGAATAAAAAACAGACAACCCCCCTGGGCCACACAGAGGCCATGCTAAGCTTGCAGCTGCCATGTCAGGGGCTTCCTTTTACGTCACAGATCTGAAAAACATCTAGTGCAAAGCTCTGTATCTAAAGGGTGACTGGTGTGTTGGTGGAAAGAATGACAACAAACAATAGCGCTGTGCTACACTTTCTCACTCTTTTCCGGCTGGGAAGAAACGTTATAGTGAGGAAAGGGCGAATGACTTTTTTTTCCACCTGTGGTGAAGAGATTAACCAAAAAGTCCACAAAAAAGGCAGTCACAGTGCCAGATGGAATTTGTAGCGCTGTACCTGGATGTGCTTCCTTCTGGGGTTCTCAGAAGTCATTTGGGGACAGCCTGTGTTCACTGCCATCCTGCTGTTCTTGCACTGCGCCTGAAGGTTTCTCCTTTGTTGATCAGTGACACTGTTGTATAATTTAATACGTCTGGGTGACAAATACAGTCTTTCATGGCCAAAAGCTTGTATCAACCGGGCTGTATCAATGGTGGATATGGAGCTGCTCCTTTCGTTTAAAGTCACATCCCTATCAGTTTGGGTTAATACATCCGAGTCCACGGGAGAAGTAGTGCTGGAAAAAATGTTGGGACTATCTGTGAGGAACTCACTGTCCTCTGAGGGTCTAGAATCCGAGGAGGTATTGCTTACATAATTAAAATCTGGCTGTTTTCTCAGGATGTACTTATCTAATTTAATCCGCTCAATCTTAATCTGACTGGATTTCCCAGTAGGATAAGGAGAAAGCACTCTGCTTTTCCTAGGTTCACCTGCATTCTGACCCCACTCTTCACTTTTACACCACTTCCTCTGCTGCTTGCTTTTCTGTTGCCTCTTCCCAGTCCACCCCCTCACTCCTTGGTCCCTTCTGCTTTCATCTTGTGTACTTTCTGAGGTGTGGAGTGAATGTGTGATGGGATTCTGAAGCATTTTAGCCAAACGATCGAGTCGTTCCACTAAAGAGAGTTCTTTCTTCTCACAAACGCCGGGCGGTTTCTGCTGCTTCTGTCGCTCCTGGTACTTGTTCCAGAGTTCATTCAAATTTGTAGTGCACTGTGTTGTTAGCTCTGGGATGACCTTCTGATCTTTTTTTTGGTCATCTGTCTGTCTTTTGCCTTTTGGATCTTTGGCCTGAGGCTTGACAGTATGCATCTTTTCATTGTCTCCCAAGTTCAAATTGATGCTGAGGCTCTTAATTCTGGTGTAATCCATCTTGGTCTTGTCCACACATGGGTCAGAAGGAGGAAGGCAGCTGTGTTCTGAATGATGGTGAAAGAAATCCTTCCAGGAATGCTGCATGAAAACACTCCTTCCTGAAGACTCATGGCAGAGATCTTGCTCGTAGGGCAGATGCACTGGATGATGGAAGTAAAACTTGGCTGATCTGAAGACAGAGTGAGTGGTATTCTCAAATGCTGAATGACACTCAGAGTCTAAAAAGAATAAAAAGAAAAAAGATTTTGAAAGAATTTAGAAATATTTCAATTCCCTTTATAAATACTGTTGTTTTTCCTTTAGACATAGAACATGTGCTTAACAATCAGACTGGCAGGAGTCAAAAAGCTAAGAATTCTGGGTAAACTCCACCATCGTGCAACAGAGCTGGGGCTGGACCTCAGCTGAAAGAGTGCTTGCTCAGCATGCAAAATCCTGCGTTCAATTCCCAGCATGGTATAAACTGCACTTATAACCCCAGCACTCAGAATGTTGAGACAATAGGATCAAGAGTTCCAGGTCATCCTCTGTTACACAACCAGTTCAAGGCTAGCCTGGCCTAACTGTGTGGTTCCGTATCAAAGACTAAAAAAAAGTGGTCCAAGCATTGGGGAATACAGAAGGCACTGTACCTCTGTGTGTTTAAGGCCAGCCTGGTCTACACAGTGAGTTCTAGGGCAGCCAAGACAACTTTGTCTCAAAATAAAATAAAATAAAAATCTGAAGTGAACTGTCATCATGTGATAAAGCTATGTGACCTCAAAAACAGCCCTTTAGTTCTTTATACTATAATGAGTTGCCTTATGTATATAGCACCTGTTCTACTTTTTACATGTGTTCTCTATTGTAAAAACTTTTCATCCTAATAGTAAGACTTAAATGGGTATTTCCAGCTTAAAAAAAAAAAAAAAAAAACAAAGGAAAAACTGGCATTTCACCATCAGCGTTAAGTGAGTAAAAAAAAAAAAAAAAAATTGTTTTTAAGCCTCACTTTTGAGCAATCATCATTCCATATCAAAATAGGTGTTGTTGAATGCAATATTATACCACAGTTAACTAGTCTGAACGTGCTTCTCTGAACTGCTATTAAAAGTTCATCCCTGATTATTGGACCATTCAAAATCATGGCAGCGACATTCACAAAATCCTTGTACTGGCTCATTCCTCTGTCAAGCTGTTAAAGTAGAAAATATCCATTTCCCTGTTCTCTGGCTCTTTCCCAAATCAATATTCTCTTCCAATTGCTCTTGAGTTTAGCCACACCACTGGTTATTACCAGTGATGTGCCCATGGCCCATGGTCTACTCAGCTACTTTCCCTTTCAAGACGATCATCATACGTCTCCATTCACTGTCCAGATCTACTCTCAGACTTAAGTTTCAAGCCATGATTTCTCTCAATTCCAGATTCATATCTAGGTATCACATATATATCACTTACAGTCGCCTTAACTTTTAAATGTCCTTAACTGAATTCTATTCTAGCCTTCACCAAGAAATACATAAAAACAATATACTAATAAAACAGATTAGACAAGGTTTCAAGATAAAAATGTGTTTACAATTTGAATTTTATGTACGGTAAGTAAACTGAAAATAAAATAACCAATTCTAGCACAAACATAAACGTGTAACAAGAAATATTCAACAAATATAGCTATGTGGATGTATTCTAGTGTTTTGAGAATGTCCCCTGGAGGCTCAGTCATTTGCATATTTGGTCCTCAGATGGAGGCACTGTTTGGGAGGCTTAGAAGGTGTGGCCTTATTAGGCAAAGCATATCCCTTGGGGGCAGGCTTTGAAGCTTCAAAGCCTTATATCATTCCCACTTTGCTCTCTAGCTTCATGCTTGCAGTTTTAAGATATGAGCTCTTAGTTTGCTGCTCCAGTTGCCATACCTGCCTGGTACACCACACTTCATCACCATGATGATGATGGACTCCTATCCCTCTGGAACGAGAAGCCCAAATTAACCCTTCTTTATGTAAGTTGACTTGGTCTTGTTGTTTTACTACAGCAATAGAAAAGAAACTGATATCAAAGTGGTTCTAATTACCAGTCTGACTATAGTTTATATAAATTTTATGTAATGTGTATGCATATATAGCTGGGAGCCGCTGTTCTAGCAGCTGCTTTGATATTTAAATCTCAGCGGAAAGACTGGTTTTACCAGGCCTTCACTGGAGTTAGTAAAGAATTTCCAAGTCCATCTCCTTTTGTTTGTGACAGCAGGTGGGATAGCTTGTCAAAATCACAGCTCAGGTTTCACCTCCTTGTGAATTTAACTCATTGTGCTGAGCTGCTTTGACTCTGGCTTAAAAGCAGTCTGAAATAAAGCAAAGTGGTAGTCTAGTTTCCATTAGAGCATCTCGGAAAGGTCCCGTGTATTGTGTGTTAGTTTATTAATTTTAATCCTCACTCCCGACTCAACAACCATTTGACTCTGCTGTTGGGCTCCGGCAATATGCATACATATATTCAAACATATACAACCACTGAAAGAAAGAAAATTAGGTTCTCTATAAAAATATGGTGATTTATAAATGAATATAAAATTATTAAATTCTGTGGTCCTCCTGCCTGGGGGCTGTCTCCCAGCAGCCCACAAAATCAGGAGGGGCAGGGGACGATAAGCGAGCCTGGAATGGCTGGTGAGCACACACTGGGATCACACAGCTTGGGAACCAGCTGATGGCTAATTCAACTTTAATTCCAGAAAACAAAGGTTATATACCCCTTGGGGAGTGGGGAGTTCCAAGAATAGGTATACATAATTGGTTGGAACTAGGCACTTTAAGGATGCTTGATTTGCATTACACAGCATACTCCTATCACATGAATGGAAACGCAGTGCCTAACTATCATATAGGCTCAAGGAAGGGAGAACTAGCAGGGAGCTGTGTCAGAGGCCATATATCAAAAGTGGTTAGGGGAGTCTGTGTCTAAAGACACTCTCCAGATGAAGTCAGGCAGAGAGGAAGGCACCCTGCTGGGAAAGAGGGTCCTGCCTTTAGATCAGAATGGCTATCTAGACAAGAACTACAACCTCAACCAGCAGGGTGCCTTCAACACTTTATATCCAAATTCTAAAAACTATAATTCTAATCATAATAGCATAAAAATAAAACACTTACAAAAAATATAATAAAAGAACCACAAAACACATATTCTGAAAACTCCAAAGCATTGCTATGAAATTAAATATTTAAATAAGTGTGAAACACCTCATTCATACAGTAAAAGAAAATATCAAACAGTGACATTCTTTAAATTGCTCTATGGAGCCAATACAATCCCCATCAGAATCCCAGTTTGTTCTTTTGTAGAAACTGACAGAATGATTATAAAATTCATGTGCAATTTTAAGGAATCCAGAGGGGACAACGTGATCCTGAAAAGTAAAACAAAGGTGAAGGTCTAACACATCTCTAGGTCAAACCTTACCTTACCTTATTATCAACAGTAATCAAGACAGACAGGTACTATCAAAGCATAGACTAACAGATACTATTGACAGTCCTGAAATAAAATTATACATCTATAGTCAGTTGATTTTTGGTAAAAGATTCAGGATCATCTGATGAGAAAATAATGTTTAAATAGCTAGTGCTATATATGATAAATGAATATCCACATTTTATCAAAGTTGAAAACTTTTGTAGAACATTTACAAGAATAATATTACAAGAATAACATTATTACAAGAATAATAAAAGAACATTATTACAAAAATAAGCCAGAAGCCTGTAATTCCAGGTACTTAGGAAACTGAGACATAAAATAACAAGGTCAAGATCAGTTTGGGCAATACTATTCTCTGGTTATCTTCTTCCCACCCCTAGCACTTGGCAACTATTTTTTTGTTTGTTTGTTTGGTTTTTCAAGACAGGGTTTCTCTGTATAGCCCTGGCTGGCCTGCACTCACTTTGTAAACCAGGCTGGCCTCGAACTCACAGGGATCCACCTGCCTCTGCAAGTGCTGGGATTAAAGGCGTGCACCACCATGTGGCTGGCAACCACCTTTCTACTCTCTTTTCCTATGATTTTTGTCTACTTGAGATATTTTATATCAGTAGAATTAAAAAAAATAACTGTGCCTTGGTGGTTGGGCTATTCTGCTTAGTGTATGACCTTATAAGGTTCTTTCATGTTGTAGCACATGACAATTTCCTCATTAAGGCTGCATAATTACCGTCTTTAAATATATAACACGTTTTCTTTTTTATTATTTTGTTTGAGACAAGGTCTAATTATATACTCCATAATGACTTTGAATTCACTATGTAGACCACAGTGGTTTCTAATTTGTAATCCTGCTTCTGCTTCCAGATTATAGGCCTATACCACTCTATGAAAGATCTTTACTGACCAATAATGTGCTTTTTTCTTATCCAATTATCTGATGGACAGCTGGATCACTCCTGCCTCTTGGTTATAATGAATAACTATGATAAACACCTTTGGGAAGTTTGAGATCTTGCTTTGAATTCTTTTGAATATATGCCCCAAAGTGGAACTGCTGCATTTATAGGATAATTCTTAATATTTTGCAGGAATAAGCATTGTTCTCCAGAACAACTATACCATTTTACATTCCTGCTAGTGGTGCATAAATTCCAGATTTTCCCTATTTTTCCCAAAAGCTGGAATTCTTTGGAAAGCTTTCCTTTGACAGTGGCCATTCTCATGGTGTGAGCTGTCCATTCCTTGCGGTTCTGAACTGAATGTCTTCAGTTACTGAGTGTCATTTCATATTCTCTTGGGTCATGTCTGTATTTTCTTTGGAGAACTATATGCTTAATCCCTTGTCCATTTTAAAGTCAGGATTGTTTTTTTGTTTTCAAGGCACACATGTTCCTTACACATTCTGGGTTTAACTCTCAACAGACAAATGCACTGTGATTATTTTACCAATTCTGTTGCTAATCTATTTCCATTCCTGCTTGCTTCAGTTTCACTTGTCCATATACACTTCTACTATCATGTCAAAGAACTGATTACCAAATAGTTTCCTGGAGCTTTTCTTTTATGTCTTCCACTAGTTTTAGGAGTTCAAGTCTTCTGTTTATCTAATACTTCCTGATGTAATTTTTATGTAATGATTTCACTTCATTCTTTTAATGTGGTTACCCAGTTTTTCTATACTGTAAGTTGAAAAGAGTATCTTTTCCCCACTGCATAGTAGTTACACCCTTGGTAAAAATGACTTCATACTTCTAAATGTTAGTAGCTAATGGAAACTTTTCAGGACAGTGTTAGTAGACTCACCCTGTTGCTCATTTCCCTTACATGGAAATGCTCACCTTCTAACAGGTAAAATTTGACAACTGAACAGTAATGGTTTATGTTCAGTATGCTCTTCTCTTTTGTCATAATATTGGGACCAAAGACAAACATAAATTGATTTAATTTGACTAAACTGTTATATATGTTATCCTTGTTTTTCCGTCTTCTAGAGTAGCTTTAGGTTTCCATGTTTCAGTACTAAGACAATACTACACTTTGCAGCAGCATCAGCCTTAGGGGTATAGTCACCCCTCAGGGTATGGTAGCACTGGTTCCTGAGCCTCTCCCAGACCCGAGTGCTTCACAAAACAGGGAGACACTTGCATGCGCCTTGGCATGTGCAGCAATCGGCATTTCTATCTTTGGTACCAGAAACCAGGTAAATGCCAAGCCAGTAGACATTATCCTGTGCTATCTGTGCAAAGTAATGAGAGGAGAAATGAAGACAACTTTTTTCTTAAACGTTTTCTGCACAGAGTTGGCTAAACTGAGTATGGAAAACTGAATGTATTCACATGTAGTACTGCTTCTCCATCTATTTCCCCAGAATTAACGCTTACTTTACAAATCCATACATATATCCACACAGACAAAGCAGTATTGAAATGATGCAACTGAAACAGAAAAGGGTCTTGTTTTTGTCAGAATGAAGCAGAAATGCAGACACTAGCACTCAGGCACACATGCTAATATCCACTGTATTACCTGAAATATCTATCTCTAAGGATCTATCCTCTAGGCAGCGTTCCTGAGAGATGGTCCTCTTAACATGGATCTCTTCCTTCTGTTTAGTGGATTTAGTGTCTGGCAGGTTTTTAGTTTTTCTGACTTGTACAGTGCTACTACTGCAACCTAAGAGAACAAAATGAATGCATTAATAAACACAAGACATCCACTCCAAAAACCTCTAATTAATCATCTAATGTATGAAAGACATCATTAAGTGGCGCTGGAAAACATAAACATCCGCACCACACTGTTTAGAAAACTGTAAAAAAAAAAAAAAAAAAAAAAAAAGCACATTTACACAAAAGCCATAAAGAACTAGAGAATCACCATCGGGGCTGGAGACAATGGCCCAGTGGTTACAACCATTTGTTACTCTTGCAGAGAACCTGAATTCAGTTTCCAGCCCACAACCACAAACAATTTCAGTTCAAGGGAATCTGACACCCTCTCCTGACTTCCATGAGCACCAGGTATTCAAGCAGCGTACAGACACATACCAAAATAAAATCAATTAAAAACACAGTGTCTATTAAAAAGCTGTAAAAAAAAAAAAAAAAATCACGACAGATGAAGACATATTAAGCACTTAAACAAAGAAAATAGTAATTCTAGCAAGCATTACCATAGAAAACTCCAGACAACTAACTTGGATGTTCTCATCTTCTCTCAAGATGAGAAACATTTTGAAATACAAATCAGAAGTCACTAACAGCAAAGGTGGCTGCACAACACAAGAGTGGAATCAGGAAAACCACCAAACATCTACAGATTACAGCATCTATAAGCAAAAGAGGGGAAAACTAGAGCCGGCTTATTTTGGAGCTGGTCCTAACATTCTGGAAGACTGCTAAAAAAGTGCTTAGATTTTATTCCCAAGGACAATGGAGACTTAAGTGTATCAGGAGATTAATAATCAAAATGGTTTCAGTAACATTCATTTAGCAACAATAAAAAAGTGGTAAAATCTTACAGTATTTCCCAAAATACAAATCTAAAATCTTAAGAAAAAAAAGTATGTAAAAAAGAGAAGTGTTTTCTGCTTTAAAATATGTCTCTAGTTCATAATTGTAGCAGAAATACCAGCGGTCCTCTAACACATTTTCTTTTTCCACTATAGTAGCTGAGCACATCACCAGAATAAAGGCTTGGCCTCCTTGGCAATGTACCTTGATGTGTCACTTGACTCAGGCTGGCATCTAAGATGCAATAGGAGTGTAACTTCTGAGAATCTCCCCTAAACAATAGGCCTTCTCTTTCCCTAGAGTGAAGGTCAGAAATGTCAACAATATAGAAACAGAAATGTTTCTCTGTCTTCTTTAAATCCTGTTATATTTTGGGGTGGTTTTTAACCAAAGCTAATCCTAAATTAAATATGCTACTACAGGCAATTTCAGCATAATCCTATTGAAGTGTAATAACCACATTAGTTCCAAAGTAAACAAGTTGAATTTCTAAAAAGTAAATAGTTTTAATATGACAATGGTAATCTATGTCAGACTACTTTAACTCAGTTAAAATGTACAGCATAGTTTAATAAATTCAACAACTGGGACCACCACTATTTATTTTTAAAATATTCTCTAAAATGTAAGTGTAAAACAATTAAAAGCAACTACAAAATTTGATAAACAAGACCTTACAGGCACAGTCTAAGCACGGTAAGAGTTTCATAATAGTGACTTGGTATCTGTATGCAAAGTAAGAAAGGAGGAATTATAATAAATAATAAAAAAGAAACAAAATAAAAAAGGAGAGACTGAGGGAAAGTTTATATTCAAAATGAGTCACATGACAATGATTAACATACACTTTGCATGCCGAAAAACCAAAACTTAGGGGGAAATTTAACTGTCCATCAAATGCAGGACTAATTTCTATAAATAATAAGGAAAAGACAAAACAAAACAAAAAAACCCATCTACTTTGCAGGACTTATATACATTTCATGCAGAGGGATGTTGAAATAAACTACTGAAAAGGGAAATGGCCCATTAAGCCTATTTCTGACAATAAAATTACTCTGTATATTATAGTCAAATGTTCTCCAGAAATATCTTGAAGAGTTTTAAAAATGTCAACTTTATTCATTCCAAAGTCAACCAAAACAGCCGCTCGCAACCCCTCATCGCAGGATGGGGAATGGAGTCACACAGAGAGTGGAGTGCACACTGCTGCCTGTGACCTTCAGGCCTTTTAGGAGAGCAGAGGAAACGGAAGCCAATACAATCCAGTCTAGCTACCTGCAGGGTCCTTCTGCAGGGAAGTTCTTTCTTCAGGTCTTGCCATTTTGATCACAACCCCTCTACTGATGAGCTCCTTCTGTTTTCTATCCGAGACAGTCTCATCCCCAGTTACAGACACTTGAACCGGGGCCTCTGGATAAGGACACCATTGATCCCAGAGAGAAGGAGAAGATAATAAGCAAAAGGCAAGGAGCCCTCCTATCCACCTCCCCAAATACAGACCCCAAGCTCTTTGTAAATGAGGGGGAAAAAACTCTTAGGCTCTGTTTTTGACAACTAATATGAATTAGAAAGTTTGCCACATCTATCTGTACAACATCAGTTTAAATAAAGTAACACTTTAAATAAATATTACTAGTCTGATACAACTACAAAAATATAATTCAAACTATGTTTTCAAAATAAAAATGTAGATAGATTTAAACAACTCCTTGAAGCTCTTTTGCCTTTTCAAAGTTTTAATCAATTGCAGAGCTAATACGTCATAATGTCAAGAAAAATACACCATCTATATCTTACACACAGCATTCTCTAAATCTCGTGTAGCTATAACTTAAACCTGTCTAATATTTTATGTTCTCTTTTTCCCTCCTTGGTCATATATCCTCTTTTATCTCTATTTCTCAACAATGAAATCAGAAAGTTAGCAGATTATGAAACACACACACACAAAAATCAGCCTTGGCTTTGTTTACCCACAATTTCTTTTCTTTCAAATCAATTTTTTTCTTATTGCTATTACTTTAGTCCTATTTTTTTTTCATCTAATTCTCTGGCATTTTTAATATTTTAGGCACACTAGGAGCCTAACAATGTACTGACAACTTGGCTTAAAATAAAACATTATAGACATGGTTCCCTGATGCTATTCTCCTTCTTAGTAGCAGCTTGTATACTGAACTTGAGTTTCTCTCAGTCTTTTCATAGCACTGCAGTAATATTAAACAACAGAAAGAATTTTAGTAATCTCCACTAATAATTTACAATCTTATCTTAAATGTCTCTTACATAAAAGATACAATGCTGTATCTTTAAGAGCATAGCTTCTCATTCAATGACTGAGATTTAGCCATATTGTGAGTCTAACAATATATACAATATTCTTTTGTTTGAACTCATCTACTGATCAACATATGACTATTTCTGTTTTATTTTTTATACCAAAAAGCAGAAGAGTGAGCATTCCTGTAACATTTCCCATTGATTTTTACAAACTGAAAATATCTTGTTTCCAATCTATGTCTTGTCATTTAATAGTTTGTATCTTTTAGGTACCAAGCTTTTCATAGTTAATAACTTCATTTTCCCCTTTGGATCTATCTTTCATGTGACTTGCTTATGAAATCTTGGATTGGAGACACAGCTCAGTTGCTGGAGTGTTTGCCTAGCAGCACGCATTTCTTGGGCTTGACCTCCAGTACAACACGAACTGGGAATTGTGGCATGTGTCTGTGATGCCTGGTGGTAGAGTTGAAGGCAAGACTATCAGAAGGTGGAGGCTACACTGAGCTACAGAGCAGATTCAAAATTAGCGCAGTCTGTATGAAACCTTGTCTCAAAGAAAGGATGAAATTCTGAACTATTTCTCGGTCATAAACGTATGTAAATTTTAAAAGTTTTCTTTTTTTTTTTTTTAAATCACGTATGGCTGTTATACATTTTTTGTACAGTGTGAAGTCAGGATTTATCTGATTTTTCTTACATGTTATCAATTATCGGATAACACCGAACTATTGATATATAACACTATTGATGCTCATTCTCAAACTTCATGGATTGGCACACCATCCCTCATAAGTTTCCATATTAAGTTTGTTTCTAAGTCACATTCTGCTACGTTTTTTATTTTTACAAAAATCTTTTGAGATTATAATATAATTACAACATTTCTCCCTTCCCTTTCCCTCTCCAAACCCCCTCCTGGGAAGTAGAGTGTGTGTATGGGTATGGGTGTGTATGTATACCTAAATACATAAATATAACCTACTCAGTCTTATGTTACTTGTATGTGTATGTTTTCAGGGATTACCATTTGGTACTGGAAAACCAATTGGTGTTCTCTTCTCTGTTGAACACTATTTCTCCAGCTCTCAACATTCCTTAGTTGCCTGTAGTTCTTTGTCTAGGGTTGAGGCCTCCTTATAAGCTTTCCTTCCATGTGAGTATGGCTATTTTTATTGTCTTTATTATACCCATTGGTACATATAGTTTTTACCCCTCATAAAGAAAACTTCTCTTTATGACAGAGACCATTATAAGAAAGCTATAACTGATCCATCTACAATTCAACTCCTGCACCAAAAGGTCAGGGATCACAACAAATGGATTAGAAGGACTGTAAGAGGAAGAGGATCAGAAGTCTGCTGATGACGTCTTCTAGAAATGTCAAACTCTATACCCCTAAAGTCTTACCAATATGGCTATCTCCTACATTTCTGTTTAATCCTTTATAAATAATATTTAACAAACAACCTATACAGTTTTGATGGCTGGTACAGCAAGCTCTCTTATGCATTCAGAGATTAATTTAATGACAATTGACAACTCAATTATTAATATTATACAATTCTCAAATTATCTAGGTTTTCTTAATAAATTTCTTATTTGTTGATTTTAGTCTTTTTTTTTTTTTTTGAGAGTGTTTCTCTGTGTAGCCCTGGCTGTCCTGGAAGTCACTCTGTAGACCAGGCTGGCCTCAAACTCACAAAGATCCACCTGACTCTGCCTCTCGAGGCCTGGGATTAAAGGCATGTGCCACCATGGCTGTTCTTAATAAATTTCAATGTAATTTAAGAATTTTCTCTACGGTAGTATTTCATGTACTTTCAGCCCATTTCTACTAGCCCAATCTTTTGCATATGTTCTTAAAGATTTTACTGTCCTAGAAAACATTTGCATAAAAATGCAGGAGTTATTACTAATTATTGCCTTTTCCACATCAAGAAATAAAATCTGAATAGAAGTGTACATAGATCCTTTATTCTTCCTTCCCATTTCCTCCAACATTTGATTTTAAGATTTATACAATCTGAAAAGAAACCAGATTAATTCCCAATTTTAAATACAACAAATTCATCAGGGATGTTTGAATTTTGTATAAATGGATAATACAACATGAGTTTTCCTTTCTTTGCTTCACTATGTTTGTAAAGTTTATTACATATATATATTCATTCACTTTTCTCTGTGCTAGCAAGTATTCAATAATATTAATATTAAAAGTTATCTATTTTACTAAACAAATATTGAACACTTTGGTGGTTTTTAGTTTGGAACTATTACAAATATGGCTTAAAGAATATGTGTAGGACTAAGGGTATAGCTCAGTGGTACCGTGTATGTTTAAGACTATGTGAAGCCCTAGATTCAAAACCCAGCAACATACACGCAGTCAAGATATTAATTTACACTTTCCACTGGCAGTGAATGAGTTTTTATTCTCCACTCTTAACGTCATAGCATTTTTCTTTCAGCCATTCTAATAAGTATAGAAAGCTACTGCTGAGGCTGGGCGTGGTGGCACACACCTTTAGTCTCAGCATTCAGGAGGCAGAGGAAAAAGCAAAAAGCTACTGCTGTTTTAATTTGCATTCCCAGATTATCAACAAAATAAAAAATTTTATATATAACTATTTAGTATTACATACTCTCTTTTAGAGAATAACTTCAATTCCTTTGCCCAATTTCTATTGAATTGAATGTTTTGTTTTGGGGAGAGGAATCCAGTTTAATGAAAATTTTCCTTTTCTGAGCCAGGAATGGTGGCACATGCTTTTAATCCCAGCACTCAGAGAGGCAGAGGCAGGCGGATCTTTGTGAGATCAAGACCGCCAAGGGTACACAGAGAAACCCTGTCAAGAAAAGAAAAAGAGAGAAGAGAGAAGAGAGAAGAGAGAAGAGAGGAGAAGAGAAGAGAAGAGAAGAGAAGAGAAGAGAAGAGAAGAGAAGAGAAGAGAAGAGAAGAGAAATTCCTTTTCTAAGGAAGGCATACTCCTCTATTTTCTTATAGAAGATCTAGCTATCTGTCCATCTACTTACCTATTAATCTATGCTTCTATGTTTTGGTTTGGGTGTTTTGGAACAGCGTCTTGCTGGAACTAGTGATCTTCCTGCAATTTTAAATATATTGTACTTTTAGAAAATGGCTGTCTTCTGTCTAGAGAAAAAACTGAAAACTCAGCACTTTGAGCAGACAGCCCAGATGTGTGAGTGGGATGGGGACTGCAGGGAACAGGAAAAAGTATGTGCTATCTGCAGGCAGGAGCCAGGGCTTGGCTGAAGGTGACTACTGTCACGAGGAATGTGAGCTAAGGACAATCAGATATTCTGATTTTTTTTCCCCCAATGAGCCCAAAATTGAATTTTCACACATTGGTAGCAAAATAAAAATTCAAACATGTTAACTGTTGATTCTTTATCAAATCTTGCCTGAAATGCCACTCTGCAATGTCTGACCGAGATAAATTCATGAGAATTTTAATCAAGGTTTTCTAATATTTAGTGGCCAAAATAAGCTTGATTTTGTGTTTTGTTTCAACAGCTGGAATGCACTTTATTTATGTTGAAAATGAAGTTTACAATCCCTCTGAAGCACTTTAAATATTCTAGCATTTTACTTTCCTGTGTAGTGGTAAGGCGTAGGTTTCCATAACAAACTAGAAAGTTAATAAAACAATATTCCCACTTCAAATAAAAAGATTCAAGAAACACATTGCAAAACACGCACTGTCCCTTGTTACCTTTCTGAGAGGGAGTCTTCCCCTTTGCTGCAGTCCTCTTGCTATAGATCCCTTCTGTGTGTCTAATGTTCACAGTGCCGGAGAGGTCATCATCTCTTGTGCCTAGCACTTGAGGTGGAAAGTCTGGGGCAACAGCATCATTGGACCCTACAGGAAAATGAGAAAATACTACAATTAACACTAAAATAGTCTTGAAGACAAGAAAGACTTTTTCTTCCCTTAGACCACTGCTATGAAAAGAGCACCATGACAATTCTGGAATGCTGCAGGCTAATTAGAAGGAGTCAGTCAAACTGAAACTCAGACACAGGTAGAATAAATGGCAAAATTACAATTACATTACAACAAACAGCTTCCTTGCCATTTTGAACTCACAAAATGGCAAGGAAGCAAATGACCGAAGACCTGACACAAAAAGTGAAACAGCGATTAGTTCATGGGACTACTGCCAGCTCAGGAAAACTTTTGAAAAGGAAAATGATTGGGGATATTTTCTGGTATGGATACAAAGACACAAAAGACACATTAGATAGCAGTTACTATACAAACACACATGAAGGCAAGTATATGAATAATACACACTGTGGTCAGGCTGGACAACAGGATACAGTAAGAACAGTTATTTATTTAAACATAGCAGCATATGAAATCCTAATCCAAGACCATAAGTTTTTCTGTACATGAAATGTAGTATCAATGAAGATTATTTTTAATCATGAAGTAATTCATAAGTTTTGACTAAGGAAGATTTGTCTAACAATACAAAACAGAGGTAAGAGCATATATATGCCTAGTCTATGTGAGGTCCTGAGTTCAATCCCTAGAACCATAAAATTAAAAAAAGAAATTAAAAAAATAGAGAAAACTAAAAGAAGTAATTTATGTGACAAGGATTTGAAAGAATTAAACTTTCTTTTAAATGTATTTCAACATTCCTATATATACTAGCAAGAGAAATGATCTGTTATACATGTCCTATCTGATAGGCAAAAAACATTTCTGGACATATAAAGGCCTGTAGTAAGTATGGCTTATAGTTAACTACAGAACCCTTTGAAATGGTTTGTCTTTCTACCCTCGGAGGCCACACTTTGTATATTTCCTGGGCTCCTAATTACGGTGTAATTAACATATCTGTGATAGCAACACTATGTATCTGACAGTAAGTGCTGACAAAGCACCAGGCTCATCAACCCAATGCCGTATGAATAAGCCACAAAGGGTTCTCAGAACAGCCTACAAGCCTACAAGTTTCCTGTCGAGTCTTTTGGCTCAAGTCTACAGATGACCTGGATCTTCTCAGCTTACATGGTTATCGTTTTCTGTTCCCGCCTCTTAACTCTCTGGCCAGTCCTATTATCCTTTATTCTACCAAGTCTCCAGTGCTAGAGTTCCTCTAGAACCCCACCTTTATTCTTCCTAGGTATACTGTAACTACCAAGGAATGGCTTGTGAAAAATAAATGCTTAAAACCCTAGCAACATATGCCTTTAATTCCAGCACTTGAGAGACAGAGACAGGCAAATCTGAGTTCGAGGTCAGCCTAGTTTTCACAGTAAATTCCAGAAATACATAACTACATACATACACACACACACACATACTGAATACTTATCACTGGCCAAGAGCTTTCTTTTATGCTTCAAATTCTAGCAGTAAAGGATACAGGTAGTTATGCCATTTTAATGAAAATTAACATCCTGTCCCTTCTTTATATCAGTTACTATACTGTGGCTCAACCCCACTCTAATTGTTGGTCATTCTCACCAATCCTCCTATATACCAGAGCACGTGTCAGGAGCAACAACATAAACAATCAGCCCACTATCCTTTTTTCCCCAAGAATGGTAACATGTCAGTTGGATTGAGAAGAACAGATAATTTCTAACAGTTGCAGCAGATGAGCAAGAGAATGAATGCCAGCAGAGCTGAGAGGCAGCTGCAGCAGCTGTGCATACAATGGAGAGCATCGCTTATTTTTCAACATCTGTGCAGTTTTGGAATACATCGGGGTGTAGATTTGTCTCTGGGACAGAAACAGTTAACATACTTCTTCCAGGACAGTAACTAGAGAGTGGGACCCTTTGTGTTCATCTATGTTTCTTCATAAAAGCATTCATCTACAATGCAAGTAGTATCACTTCCTGTGGTCCCATTTGCCATCTCTATGTGGCTGTATACATATATTAGAAGATCTCTTTAACCACATGCCCAAAGAAGATACTTATATCATCTTCCCCAAATGTACTTCTTCCTCAATCTCCACCTTAATCAATAGCATTCCTACTTACCCAGTTGTTCTTTGTGGAAAACTAGAAATCATTTTTCCCCATCGTTTTATCCTATACTTGCAGCATGCTAACACCAAGTCTAGAGGAAGTATTTTCTAAAACTCAGTTCCCTTTGTCTACATACTCCAGCTCTGTGATGTCAATTCAGTCCTAGAGGTTGCCTTTTCTGGTACTGAGTACTGCAAAGCTTTCTTTTTTTAAAAGATTTATTTATTTATTATGTATGCCTGTGTGCCAGAAGAGGGCACCAGATCTCATTCTAGATGGTTGTGAGCCACCATGTGGTTGCTGGGAACTGACCTCCAGACTTCTGGAAGAATAGCCAGTGCTCTTAACCTCTGACCCATCTCTCCAGCCCCACTGCAAAGCTTTCTAACTAACTGAAGTCTCCACTAACATTTTGACTCTGAATCTCCACCTACCAGTTATTTCTCTCTATAAAAACAAGGATAAAATTTACAAACATAAATCAAACCAAAGGTGCCTACTAACAGCAAAACACAAATGCTTTTAAATTGCTTACAAGCTACTGTATGACCTATTGTCAACCGTATTTATCCACTATCCTGCTTTCTTCCTGCTAGTTCCTTTACTAGGACTCAGCAGAGCAGACCAAAATGGAATCACTTGTGCAAAGTGACATGCAAGCAAATTGAAACTTAAAAAAGCAGGATCCTGAAGAGACCAGCTTTCAAAATAACAGATTTTCACCAACCAGTTGAAAAGAGTCAAGTCAGCCTAAGGAGGGGAACAAAACAAGGCTCTTCTTTAACCCTTACAAGTAAAGTAACATGCTCAGCAATCTGCTTTCCTTGTTCCAGCTTATAGAAACCAACTGTTCTTCCATGCTTTCAAAGTGATGCTGTAGACTGTTGACTCATTTGTGATTATTTTGTAAAAGCCTGATTTGTAAGATTATTTTGTATTCAGTCTTTGAGCTAAATTTGTAGAAACTATGAACATTTTAAAACAACCCAGAAGCAACTCAGACTTCTCATTAAGGCTACTTGGGAGGCTAAGGCAAGAGGGTCACAAGTTTAAAGACTGCCTGGCTATAGACTAAGTTCAAAGCCAGCTTAAGCAACTCAGTGAGATACTATCTGAAAATAAAAAGTTAAAAAGAAAACCAAGGTGGGTACATAGCTCAGAAGTTCAGGAATTAAACCAAGGGCTTTTGTGCACACCTGTTAAGTGCTATACATAGCATGGCATCTGACTGGAACATGTTCACAGGTTTAATATTCACTAATACAAGAACAAATAACACAGCATGTATCAGAATGCCATTGCTTTACAAACGCCAAGTAACACTCTAAGTACACCCTACAATGTCCATCCACTCATGGTGACTGACATATGGGATCTACCTTTTGGCTCTGTAAGCATGGGTACACATAGGTGATTCTTTGAGATCCAGTTTTCTTTATTTTTTTGAAGGATATACTTATAAGCAGAATTGCTTGAACATATGGTAAAGTGTTTAGAGTTCTGAAAAACTGCCATGCTGTTTTCCACAGCAGCCTTTTACTTACAATTCAATATTTGTAGATTGTTCTATTTGAATTAATAATATATGTTCTACTTAAACAAAACCACAAAACCCTGTTATGCATCTTTCTCCTGGAACAATGAGGAACTGCAAAGTCCCCAAGCCAGTCAGCTTAAAGTGTTTTGCCAAGCTACCTAGATATAATGTACTTGAAACAAAATCAATGATGTTTAGCTAGTCAAAATGATGTAAGGCTGCCCCACCCCCTTGCTTCCCACCTGGTTACTTGGTTGTTAGCAAGTTACGATTTTTCTTATAGAAAACATACCTTAGAAATGGAATGGTGTCACAGTCTCCCAGATTGTACCACTGACCAGTCTTTGTTTAGCATTCAATAAGCTTCATCAATCTGAGTCTGGTGTTCTAGTAGTCACTGTGCAGCTATTCCTAAACCCGTAACAACTTACATATTACAAGATTTTTAGGCTAAAATATGTAACACTTCAGTCTCTTGCTATTGATTTTGGTTAAGATTATAACAGATGTTTCAATCTACATAGTATGTTCTTTTGATTCGTTTTTTTAAGAAAGAAAAAAAATTTTCCAATTAGGCCTTGAGGATGTGAGAGCAATCTGGTTGTGACATCTGTCACCCTATTGATGAACAGGGTCAATTCTACTGGTCTGGCTGGCTAGGCAGGTGTCCCCTTCCTCCCTCACCACTCCATGTGTGTCCCTCCCAAGCTGCACCCTCAGGATGACCTTCCCTGAATAGAGGAGGACCGGGTCTTCGGTCAAGGGCAGAGAGTAGCTGCGCTCCCCTGCTGGACCTCCAAGCAAGCTCAAGGTCCAATTAGGCCTCGAGTATTACTTTTGCTCACATTACTGTGCTGTCTACAACAAACTTCCTGGTTTGGTGGTAACAGTGTTTCTAATGGATCTTATTTCCTCATGTTCCAATTTTGTTTTTCCTTTTTTGTGTTTTTAGACAGTTTCAAGTTGACCACATCACCATTTCAATTTCTTTCATGGTAATTTTAACCCTTTGTTTATTTAAAAATTTTATTTTAAATGTGAAATTAAATCTTTAAATTTTTAGGAAGTTTTTCTTTTATTCATTCCTGACCCCTGCTTTTAAAAATTTGAGATACTGGGCTGGAAAGATGGTTCAGTGGTAAAGCACTTGTCACTCTTGCAGAGGACCTGGGTTAGATTCCCAACATCACATGGAGGCTCCCAATCATACCTAAATCCAGTTTTAGGGGACTCTCTTATGGCCTCCTCACACATCCATGCACCCAAACACACTCAGGCACATTCGTGTGTATGGGTGCACACATGTAGGCAAAACACTCATACAAATGTTTGCTTTTGGTTTGCTTTTTAGTTTTAGTTTTGTTTTTCAAGACAGGGTTTCTCTGTGTAACCCTGGATGGCCTGGAACTCTGTAGACCAGGCTGGCCTTGCCTGCCTTTGCCTCCCAAGTGCTGGGATTAAAGGCATACACCACTCATACGTATTAGAAAAAAAATAGCCAGGTAATGCCTTTAATCACAGCATTTGGGAGGCAGAGGCAGGTGGATCTTTTGGAGTTTGAGGATAGACTGGTCTACAGAGTAAGTTCCAGAACAGCCAAGGCTATATGGAGAAACCCTGTCTCAAAAACCAAAAGGAAATTTAATTGAGATATTATTCATATAACAAAGTTGTATGATTATGAAGAACTTAATGTATTCACTCCTCCCTTCAATTATGTTAGTTTTTTTTTTTTAATCTGACATTTTCTCATAATGTTAGGTACATACATGTTATTTCTTGGACTACTGATCCTTTTTTAAGTATAAAGTGTCTTTGCCTTTTAGAAGCAGCCTTTATTAAGGTCCACTTCATTTATTATTTTTACAGCTACTCCACGGCATAATTTTTCCCATCTTCTTACTTTTCTCCTATTTGTTTCTGAATTTAAAATGAGCATTCTGTAGACAAACCACAGTTGGATCATGTCTTATCTACTCATACCTGTCTTATGGTTTAACTCACTAATATTTAATTATGGATAATGTGGAACTTAAGTCTACCATTTTTCCTGTTTAATAAATCTTTATGTCTAGGTCTGTTCCTTGATTTATCTCCTAGCATTCTTTTGTGTTTAAAAAAAAAATATATATATATATATAAATATATATATATATACACTATTGCCTTTTAATACTAAATTTTCTTTTACTGTGCATTTATTAGTTTCTTAGAGCTGTCTTAGGAATTACCATTTGCACTTTAATTTATAATAAGTAATTGGGTAAATGCGAATGTTATAAAAAATTTAAATCACTCCTGTGTAGACTTTGTTTTACAGAGTAGTTTTGCTGGATATTGAATCTTGGTTGAAGTGTGGAGTTTTCCTGCTGTCTGTTTTTTGTTTGTTTTGTTTTTTTAAGGTTTGTTGTCTGTTCGTCCCTTCCTCCCTCTACCCCCTATCTATCAACTCTTTGAGGAAGTCATTCCATTTCCTCCTGAGCTCAGGATTTCTGGATATTATCTGTTGAATCTTGGTAAGAAGACAAGCCGTAAGGAGTTACTTCTCTCTGAATACTTTCAAACCTCTCTGTCGCGGCTTTTGAAAGTTTGACTAGTACACATCTACATGCTGTCCTGTGTTTCTCCTCGGAGCTCTTTTAAGTTTTTCAGTTGTCACCAAATTTAAGAAATTTGGCATCATTACATGTTTAAATATTCTTTTACTCTTCTTCTCTCTTTTCCTTTTGATTTAGAAGAAACTGAAACTGATAGGATTGGTATTATAAAGGACTTACTAATAGATTTTCTTGAGTTATATACAAGTAGAGTCAGGCGATGGTGGCAAACACCTTTAATACCAGCACTCAGAAAGCAGAGGCAGGCGAGCCACTATGAGTTCAAGGGCAGCCAGGTCTATAAAGTGAGTTTAGGAAAGCCAAGGCTACACAGAAAAACCCTGTCTCAAAACAAGAGTTATACAAGTGGAATTTAGCCTCCAAAATAACATTTTGGAGATTACAAGTGTGCTAACCAGGTCTTTGAGATAAGCAATATTTAGGAGGCTAGGATACAAATGTTTATTCATTAGTATAGACCAGCCATTCATAACAAAGACTTGCCTCTAAAGCAAAGGGTTCTTAACCTATGAGTCTCAACTCCTTTGGCAAACCTCTATCTCCAAAAATATTACACTACAATTCATAACAGTAGCAAAATTACAGTTATAAAATAGCAGCAAAAATAATTTTATGGTTGGGGTCACCACAAGATGGGAAACTGTATTAAAAAAGGTCATAGCACTAGGAAGGTTGAGAACCTCTGCTCTAAAGAGAAGCTCAAGGGGACCAGTCCAGTTCTGCTGTTAAGTCCCCTGTGCTCTTAAAAGGAAAGACATAATTCTGCCATGTGGACAAGATAATTCTGGGTGACAACTATTTGAAAAAAGAACACTGGTGTACTTAAGATAGTTCTGGAAGTATGTAATAACTTTGCTGTATAAATATCTGCCTAAATGACCAGATTGCAGTCTCCTATCTCTATTCAAACTGTTTTAAGTGTAACCTGGGGCAGGGACCTGAAAAATACTTATTAAGCATGACTATCAGTAGACTAGTCTAAAGTGTACATACGTTAATAAATAAAATATACTATTCAATGACAACTCTTGGATTTTAGCCTCAGTTAGCCATATGCTTCAGCAAAACGCTTTCCTTCATTTCTAAGTGCCTTCTTACTAAGAAGGCACATCATTTCTATTACACGTTGCTTCCTCCATTGTGTACATATTGGTAAATTAATGGCATCCAATAGAACGCTGAGATTTATTTCTTCTTTTCTTTTCTGGTTCTTCCACTAAGTCATCTCCCTGGACTTTCTTTAGGTTCTTTATTTCTTCTGCCTGTCTTCTGTTGAGCTCCTCTAGAAAAATAAGTTTTCCAACTATGCTTTTCAAGTCCAGAATTGTAACATGGCCCCTTCTTATAATTTCTTTCTATTTATAACATTCTCTGTCTGGGAAGACAATATTCCCATACTTTTCCTTTAGTTCTTCATAAGTTGTTTCATTTAGATCACTGAATATATTTTAAATAGCTAAGTATTTGTCCAGTAAGTACAACTTCTGGGATTCCTCAGGCACTTTTTTCCTATGTATGGAACATACTTTATCTTGTATTTTTCCTTTATAATGTTTGTAGCAAATTTGAACACTTAAATAATATAATACAGCAATTATTAGTCAGATTCTACTCCCACCTCAAAAGATCTCAGAAGATTGTTTAGTAACTCCTGAGCCCGGGCTGTAAAGACCACACTTGTGCATGGCCATCAAAGTATTTGACCAGCATACTGGTGAGCTAATGCCTGTCTGAACACTGGGCTGCCTTAAACATCAAAGTATTTGATCAGCACACTGGCGAGCTAATGACTGTCTGAATACTGGGCTGCCTTAAACAACATACGTCATGAAATCTTGAAGTCCTTGGCTCTGTGCTTATTACAAAGGGGCTCTAAGCCACTGCTAACTTCATTTTAGCCTTCTCTTTTTCTCTTAAACAAAGTTTCATACAACTCACTTATTATGAATCAGAGGTCGGTTAAGGCATGAAAACCTCCATATTTCACTAAAATCAACCAGCCAACAGTATTTCTAAAAATAAAATCTTGAATAATGTTTGCGTAATACCTGAATGTGAGCTCTCAACAGTGGTATCTGATTTGGAATCCAAATATGAAGGAACTGTTTCTAATTGTTGAACATAGTACATCCTCGAAGTATCAGATGGCTTATATGGCAACACTTGAGGCTGGACTGAGGAGTAAAGATCAGAACTGTTAGTAAGAAAACACTCACTCTCCAAACACATACCAAGTACCCGTGAATGAACTAAACATAAATTCATCTTTGCTTTCAACAGGAGCCAGAATTCTAGAGATGGGAGATACATAGCACAGCTAATTAAACTATACAAGCAAATTATCTCGTATTTTAACAAGTTATAAGGTATACATCAAAATACATATCTCCAAGTAAAAAAGACAAGGTCTGCCTATTCAAAGACCATCAGTTTAATATAGACCCTATCCATGGTATTCTTCTGTTTACATACTCATTATCATAAATCAGTAAAGGTAGAATTCAGATTTTCTGTCTTACAACAATATTAATTTTACCCTGTTCATGCAGAGACCTCTGACATAGATGTAGGTTTAACATTTTTTTCTCAGTTGGGTCTCCCTTCCTGTGCTTCTGCCACAGTCCTGAAAGCAGCATATTCTAAGGCAAGACAGCAAGTGCCCCATAGCCTGGATCTCAGGGACAGGACCTTGGAGGCACACCTAGACTACTTTTGCCACCTGAGCCAAACTCTGCCAAGCTTCCAACCAGCTAACAAGCCTGAGATGTGAAGGAAATTCCTGTTATTTTAAACTGCTGAAAATACATACATACCTGTATGTGAGTATGTGTAAATGTATATATATTTGGTAGTGCCATGGATGCGTCTAGGACCTGGTGCATGTTAGGCTTACACAGACACTATTGCTGAGCTAGATCACCAGCACCCATACAGATTTTTTTTCTCTTCATGTGTGTGTGCCTGTGCTTATGTATACATGTGTATGTTCATGTTCGCATGTGTGGGGGTGCACAGCATGTGCAGTAAGATTGGTGATCAATCTGAATAACAGGTAGTTATTGCATAAGCAAGAAATACTCAGGCTGGGCATGGTGGCACATGCCTTTAATCCCAGCACTTGAGAGGCAGAGGCAGGGAGATCTCTGTGAATTCAAAGCCAGCCTGGTCTACAAAGCAAGTCCAGGACAGCTAGGGCTTGTTACACAGAGAAACCCTGCATCGAAAAACAAACAAACAACAATAAAAACACTTTTGTGTTTAATTGTGCATTACTATGCACTATTAAAGTCTCACGTCACATTACTATGAGCCAAATGCCAATAATTCAATTGCCTGCCTTAAAAATAGTTCTTACATACTAACTTTTTATTTATTTATACAGTATTATGCCTCAGCAGGCCAGCAGAGAGCGCCAGATCTCAGTACAGAAGGCTGTGAGCCAGCATGTGGTTCCTTGGAATTGAACTCAGAACCTTTGCTAGAACAGCCAGTGCTCTTAACCGCTGAACCTACTTAATCTCTCCAGCTGACTAACTGTATTTTTACAAAAATCACTGGACAAAAGTCAGCCAGCCAGCTGGGAGGTGGTGGTACAAACCTTTAATCCCAGAAATCGGAAGGCAGAGACAGGTGGATCTCTGTCGACAAACTTGGTCTACAGATTGAGTTCCAGGACGGTCAGACAGATGTAGCATGAATTCCACCATATCTCATTAACTCTATTTAAAATTGAGATGAATATCTTATTCTTTTCAGAGGTATACAAACAAAAACTAGATATACTAATTGTGGAGCATAATGATTATATTGCAATTAGGTTTAACGATGAGAAAGACAGAAACCTTTCTAAGATAATTACACGCAAAAGTTGGGTAATGATGTAAAACCCAGTCACATTCTCTTACCATCTTTGTCATGAGAAGCTGTGATTTGCTGCACTGAGGATGATGAGGCAAACTTGGATAACTTTTGGACCACGGGGCCTAGAACTTCCTGTCCATGATCATCAGCATTAATAAAAATTTCAGATGAAAATGTGGTCTTCCCTGGACTTTCTGTTGTTATCTGAGTGACCGCATCAGACGATAACTTCCCAGAGGACGTAAGAAAGGGAGCTTTATTCTGTTCTTGTAAACTAATGACATCAAAAAAAAGGACAAAACAGCTCATATTTTTGGCAAGAAATATTTAAGTAATTAGACAACTGTAAACATAGTGCTCTCATATGTTAATAATAACCTATTTCCACAGTATCCTTCATTTGGTTAGATATATACCTTTAGATATACACTAAAAAGTGATCAAGAATGTTTCTTATTATTTATTCCAAAATATTTATTTAAGACAGGGTTTGTGTGTTTCTCTGTGTGTGTGTGTGTGTGTGTGTGTGTGTGTGTGTGTGCATATGTGTAGCCCTAGCTATGCTGGAACTCACTCTGTAGACCAGGATGGCCTCTAATTCAGAGATCTGTCTGCCTCCCAAATGCTGGAATTTAAAGGTATGCACCAACAACACCCAGCCCAAAATCTACTTTTAATTTTAATTTATAATACCATTATATAATTTTACTGAGAAAACAGTACTTCTTGGTAGAAATTAACACATTCATTTATTTATATTTAATTTGACAAATACTAAAAAATTATACTACTAAATTGCCCAGAGGACACAAAGATAAACATGAAATAAACTCTTCCCACAATAGGTTTATATTTTTTTGCTTGTTTACAATTTTATTTTTATATTAATTATTCACTTTGTATCCGTGCTGTAGCCCCCTCCCTTATTCCCTCCCAATCTCACCCTCCCTCCCTCATCTCCTCCCATGCCCCTCTAAAAGTCCACTGATAGGGGAGGTCCTCCTCCCCTTTCATCTGACCCTAGCCTATCAGATCTCATCAGGATTGGCTGCACCATCTTCCTCTGTGGCCTGGTCAGGCTGCTCCCCACTCAGGGGCAGGTGGTCAAAGAGCCAGCCAATGGTGAAACCATGAGTTCTAAATAGAGAATGGTGTAGGGGGTAAGGAGGTGAGGGGTAGAGAGAGTATGAGAGAGAGAGAGAGAGAGAATAATCAAGATTGGGAATTTATGTTAAATCAAAGTAAATGAATGACTGAATAAACAAACATTTAGGAGGAAAGGCCAGTTTTGCTTATGAAGAATTCTATAGAACACGTAAACACCTCTTACCAAAGATGGTAAAGTTTAACTCCCATTTCCAAACCCCAAGTATAAGCTTGACCTAGTGGCTAGATTTCAAGTAATACTGCCTAAGTAGTGAGAAAGCCAACCACCCCAGTGATCAAGGCTAACATCACAATGATGACTTGTGGGTATAAATTTCCCTGTGATGTGAGGGTGAATTTCACCTGTGATACGCTTTCCCCAAAATTTAAAACTTCAGTCTCATCATAAACAAACAAACAAACAAACAAACAAACAAACATCCAAGCAAACTGGAATGGAGAATCTATTTAGCAAATGTCTAGTATTCTTCAAAATTTCCAAGTCCATTAAAAACAAGGAAGGAAAAAGGATTGTCATATACCACAGAAAGCTAAGAGACACTTGCATTGTCAGAGCAAAATCCACAGACTCGCGGCCTTTCAAAAGAATTTCCTGATCACCATTGCGGAGCCTGAGAAGGCTAATGAAGCAGTGACAGAGTCTTCATCTAGTAAGGACTTCTTTTCTGGTTCATAGTTGTTGCCTTCTTACAAGCTCGTACATGGTAGGAGGGACTACACAGCTATCTGGAGAGAGAACTTTGGGTAAAGGCACTAATCTCATTCCTGAGGCACTCACTCTCACAATTTAAATGCTTCCTTGAGCCTTAGCTCCAAACACTGTCCTACTGGGGATTAGATTTTAACATGTAAATTTTTGAGAAACTAAGTATTTAGACCATCACATTCTGGTCTCAGTTCCCAAAATTCATGTCCTCACATCCAAAATACAGTCATTCCATCCCAACAGTCTTAACTCATTGCAGCAACAACTCTGAAGCTAAGTTCAGAATGTTATCTAAATACCATCTTCATCAGAGGCAGATTCAATGTACAACTTATCTCAAAACAAAATGTTCTCCAGCTGTAAATCAAAACATAGTATGTCCTTCCAGAATACAACAGTTGAACCAGCATATGATACTGTCATTCCAAAAGGGAAAAAGAGAATGGGAGAAATAGGTCCTAAGCAAGTCCTAAATCTTAAATCTCAGGAATAATCTTCAACAGAAGCTCTGTCCTCCAGTCTCACCATGACTCGATAAACAATGCCTGTGGACTTCAGTGGCTTGCTAAATCACATCACTGCAGTGTTTCTAGGTATAGAACATACAATATGTGAGCCCTAAAGCCAAACCTGAGATGGCTCAGGAGTACAGTGACATAGAGTATGAGAAAGAAGAACCTGTGAAGCAGGACTGAGCAGTGAGCACAGAAGATCCACAAGAACCCAAAATGTCTTCTTTGAAATTATTATGTCCCCAAAGTCCCTGCACTCTGGCTCATCAGAGGAAATGGCACCAATAATGCCTAAAATGTCTTTCAATATTCTTCAATATTGTTTTAAAATGTCGAGTCTGTGTATGAGAAAATGTTTTATGTAATATTTATGATTTTGAGTGTGGCTCGCTTCAAACATAGCTTAATGGTCTCTACCGCTACTCATTTTTCTGCAAATGACATAGCTTCATTTTTCTTTATAGCTGAATAGAACTCCATTGTTCACAGACAGAATGTTTTCTTTATTCATTTATCTCCTGGACATCTGGTCTGATTCTGTGACCTGACTACTGGAGACGTCTCAGTAGAACAGTTAGAACAAATATTTGCAGGTGTCTCAGAGTCCTAAGGTATATTCCCAGAACTGGCAGAGTTGAACCATATGGTATTACAGTTCTAGATTTTGAGGAATTGTCACACTACCTTCCACAGCAGCTGTCATAAGATGTATATTCCCACCAACACTATGAAAGAGTTCCTTCCCTGGCCCCACATCCTTGCCAGCATTTGTTTGATTTCCTGATATTAGCTACTCTGACTAGAGTGAGATAGAATCTCAATATAGTTTTAATTTGCATTTCCTGGTGGCTAAAGATACCAAGTATTTTTTCATTTATTTACTCTTTAGAGAACTGCTCATTTGCCCATTTACTGATTGGGTGATTAGAGTTTTGATGCTTACTTTTTTAGTTCCTACTATTTTCCAGATAGTAGTCCTGGTCAAATGAATAGCTGGCAAAGGTTTTCTCCCATTCTGCATGTTGTCTTTTCACTGTGGCTGGTATTTCCTTTGCTCTACAGAAGCTTTTTAACTTGATGAAATGTAGTCTCTCAACTCTTGCTCTGACCTCCTAAGCCACTGGAGTACTATTCAGAACGTCAAAGCCTACACAAGCCTATGCCTTCAAATACTTCCTCTACATTTGCTACAGTAGTTTCAAAGGTTTTTTAAGCCTTATGTCCAGGTCTTAATCTTTTAAATTTAATTTTTCACACAGTATGAGGCCTGCTCTCTACTTGCCATGCCATTGTATGGCATAAAAATGTAGGCAGCTCTCCAGGAATCCTTTATAAGACACTACTTTCACTCATGACTTGATATCATCTCCCAGAGTCCCCACCTCCAATAATCATATCAAGGAATAAGGTTCAACACGGGTTTTTTGTTGTTGTTGTTGTTTTTGTTTTGTGTGTTTGTTTGTTTCAATGATGGAAGCAGTCAGATCACAGGAACAACTAAACAAAATGCAAAATACCAAATGGGTCTATGGAACAGGAAAAGGACATTAAAGAAAAACAGATAAAGACCAGAAATACTTAGCAGCAACATACAAGTGCCTATTTCTTCCTTCTGGCAATTATACTATAAACTGTAACATACTGGAAATAGGAGAAGGTGAGTAGAGCCAGGTTCAGTGCAAACCTGTGATCTCAGCACTTGGAGAGGCACAAGGAGACAGATCTCTGTGAGTTTGAGGCCATTGGCTACATGAGGAACCCTGTCCCAAAAAAAACAAAAAGAAAAAAGAAAAGAAAAAAGGCGAGGGATTGCTAAAAGGAATTCTGAATGTATATTTTATATAAATATAAAGTTATTCAAAAATAAAATAATTTAGCTACTTTTGGTGGTGCATTTCTATAATTCCAGTAGTCAAGATACTGAAGGAAGGAATATGACAAATTTAGGGCCAGTCTGAGATATATAGAAAAACTCTAACTCCAAAAATGTAAAATAAAATCAATAAAAAAAAGGAAAGGAAGCATTATGTGTTATATTAGAATAAAATGAAGACTATATCCAAAACACAGAAACATTTTTAAAACTCTAGAAAAGGACACTTGTGAGGAAACAACCAGGCCAATCTCTCTTCTGACCACAGACACAAACTCTAAGTGAATGTTAGTAAACTAAATGTGCGTATTTACATGCTGTGTGCTGCCTTGCTTTCTCTCTAACATTGTGGATCATTAATACACAGGAATGAATCCTACCGGGTGGTTTCATTCCAGGAATGTAAGGTAAACTAATATTTTATAAAATCAGTGTGATTCACACCATCAACAGAATTAAGTAAAACACATATGACCATATCAACAATAGCAGAAACAATTTTGTTAACATTTCATAATTTTGCATGAAAAAACTCACAGAGGGCGGGGCTGGAGAAATGGCTCAGCAGTTAAGAGCACTGACTGCTCTTCCAGAGGATCTGGGTTCAATTCCCAACACCTACAAGGCAGCTCACAATTGTAACTCCTGTTCCAGGGGATCTGACACCCTCACATAGACATACATGCAGTCAAACACCAATGTACATAAAATAAAAATAAATTAAAAATAAAAGAAAAAACTCACTGAGGAGGAATAATTTGTATATATATAAATGTATACACACACACACACACACACACACACACACACACACACACACACACACACCTATATAACCTTGGAATACAAGTGATTTTTTTAAATTGCCAAATAGAAGATGAAAAAAAAAAAAAACCCTTTAAGCCCATTAAAATTTTCCATATAAGAAAAGTTATAAGCTTAAAATACAGAAATATTATTCATGACACTATAAAAATATCAAAAACTGGCCAGGCCCAGTGGCACACACCTATAAT